GCAAAGGAAACCTTGTACTCCCCGGTGAGTGTGTGTGTTTGTACTCACCTAGTTGTGGTTGCAGGGGTCGATTCACAGCTCCTGGCCCCGCCTCTTCAATGGTTGGTCGCTACTAGATCACTCTTTCTGCTCCATGAGCTTTATTATACCTCTTCTTAAAGCTGTGTATGGATCCTGCCTTCACTACATCACTTCCCAGACTATTCCACTTTCTGGCAACTCTACGACTGAAGAAATACTTCCTAACATCCCTGTGATTCATCTGAGTCTTCAACTTCCAACTGTGACCCAGTGTTGCCTGTGTCCCATCTCTGCAACATCCTGTCTCTGTTCACCTTGTCAATTCCTCTCAGTATTTTATATGTCGTTATCATATCCCCCTTATCTCTCCTGTCCTCCATTGTCGTCAGATCGATTTCCTTTAACCTCTCCTCATAGGAATGCCCCTTAGCTCCTTTGCACTTTCTCTAGTTTCCTTACGTGCTGGGCTAGGTGTGGATTCCAAACTTGTGCTGCATACTCCAATATAGGCCTAACGTACACAGTGTACAGGGTCCTAAACGATTCCCTATTGAGATATCGGAATGCTGTTCTTAGGTTTGCTAGGCGCCCATATGCTGCAGCAGTTATTTGGTTGATGTGCGCCTCAGGAGATATGCCTGGTGTTATACTCGCCCCAAGATCCTTCTCCTTGAGTGAGGTTTGTAGTCTCTGGCCCCCCTAGATTGTACTCCTGCGGTCTTCTTTGCCCTTCCCTAATCTTCATGACTTTGCACTTGGTGTGTGTATGTGTGTGTGTACTCATCTATTTGTACTCACCTATTTGTGGTTGCAGGGGTCGAGTTATAGCTCGTGGTCATGATTCTTCACTGATCGATAGTATGTAGCGATCGCTGTGTGTGTGTGTGTGTGTGTGTGGTGTACTCACCTAATTGTGGTTGCAGGGGTCGAAACTCAGCTCCTGGCCCCGCCTCTTCACTGATCGCTACTAGGTCCTCTCCCTCTCTGCTTCCTGAGCTTTGTCATACCTCTTCTTAAAACTATGTATGGTTCCTGCCTCCACTACTACACTTGCTAGGCTATTCCACTTCCTGACTACTCTATGATTGAAGAAATACTTCCTAACGTCCCTGTGACTCGTCTGAGTCTTCAGCTTCCAATTGTGACCCCTTGTTTCTGTGTCTGCTCTCTGGAACATCCTCTCTCTGTCCACCTTGTCAAATTCCCCACAGTATCTTGTATGTCGTTATCATGTCTCCCCTGATCCTTCTGTCCTCCAGTGTCGTCAGTCCGATTTCCCTCAACCTTTCCTCGTACGACATTCCACTGAGCTCTGGAACTAGCCTTGTTGCAAACCTTTGTACTTTCTCTAACTTCTTGACGTGCTTGACCAGGTGTGGGTTCCAGACTGGTGCTGCATACTCCAGTATGGGCCTAACATACACAGTGTACAGTGTCTTGAACGATTCCTTATTAAGGTATCGGAACGCTATTCTCAGGTTTGCCAGGCGCCCGTATGCTGCAGCAGTTATTTGGTTGATATGTGCCTCCGGTGACGTGCTCGGTGTTATGGTCACCCCAAGATCTTTCTCCCTGAGTGAGGTCTGTAGTCTTTGTCCACCTAGCCTATACTGTCTGCGGTCTTCTTTGCCCCTCCCCAATCTTCATGACTTTGCATTTGGCAGGGTTGATTTCGAGAAGCCAGTTTCTGGACCACGTGTTCAGCCTGTCCAGGTCTCTTTGCAGTCCTTCCTCATCCGATTTAATTCTTCTCATCAGCTTCACATCATCTGCTAATAGGGACACTTCTGAGTCTAACCCTTCCATCATCTCGTTCGCATATATCAAAAATAGCACTGGTCCTAGAACTGACCCCTGTGGGACCCCGCTCGTCACAGGCGCCCACTGTGATACCTCTTCACGTACCATGACTCGTTGTTGCCTCCCTGTCAGGTATTCCCTGATCCATTGCAGTGCCCTCCCTGTTATATGCGCCTGATCATGTGTGTGTGTGTGTGTGTGTGTGTGTGTGTGTGTGTGTGTGTGTGTGTGTGTTTTATGGATGGTATCACTTAACTTAGGGACTTAAGTATAGATGAGGGCTGCCAGAGGCCTATTTGCGCATGCAAATCAATTCAAAATCGCCCTTGAGCAATGTCACTGAGCAGTGCCCTTGAACGGTGCCACTGAGCAGTGCCCTTGAACGGTGTCGGTGGACAGTACCCTTGAACGGTGCCACTGAGCAGTGCCCTTGAACGGTGTCGGTGGACAGTACCCTTGAACAGTGCCACTGAGCAGTGCCCTTGAACAGTATCGTTGGAACAGTACCCTTGAACAGTGTCATTGGAACAGTACCCTTGAACAGTGCCACTGAGCAGTGCCCTTGAACGGCGTCGTTGGAACAGTACCCTTGAACAGTGCCACTGAGCATTGCCCTTGAACGGCGTCGTTGGAACAGTACCCTTGAACAGTGCCACTGAGCAGTGTCCTTTAACGGTGTCGTTGGAACAGTACCCTTGAACAGTGCCACTGAGCAGTGCCCGTGAACGGTGTCGTTGGAACAGTACCTTTGAACAGTGCCACTGAGCAGTGCCCGTGAACGGTGTCGTTGGAACAGTACCTTTGGAAACTGATGGATCTAAGACACTATTTTTTTCATTAGGAAAGAAACAGGTGTAATTATTCCAGTTTTATGAATTATAAATCGAAACAAGGATTATATAAACTATAAACATTCAGCGAACACCATTATTGTTTTTAGCTAATTCCAAGTTAATATTTATAATTACCCCGCTACTAAACATTTGTAACTACCCCGCTACTAAACATTTGGATATGAAGGTCTCCTACAGTAGCACGTTTCGCTCTGTCACGGTAAAAACTTCCTCGGTGTTTCTCTTCATCGGATCAACATTTAATATGTACCGAAATATTCATTTCTAATTCCTGCATTTAAACATTTATGAGGTACCAAAACATTTATCAGTAATTCCAGCAAATAAACATCGGGTATGCGCTAAAACACTAATCAGTAAATCCTGCAAGTGAACATTGAACATGCACTACGGTGTTTAGCTGTGAGCATGGCGTTTATTCTAGGAACGGCCCAAGACATCAAGTTACCTACCCACGTCCAGACAGTGGAAAAAGACTGTTTTACACGGACACGTACAGGGAATACTAGATGACTCCACTAGTTACACATCTCCAGCACATGAACCTCAAATCTCCAGCCCATGAACCTTAGCAGGTTCACCCGGGTCATCGGAAGAAAAAAAATCATTTTGTTAATGTATATGAAGCTTGTTTAGTAATGTAAATATGCTAACCATTTCGTAAACTTTCGGAAATAATTTAGAACCGAGGTAAACCCGCCTGTGTCCAACTATATTTCACCCTCAAGCTTCTCAAAGCAATATTCCCTCGTTTAATCTCAGTCTCCTTCTTTAGCTCAAACCTTCGTCGTTTTAGCCCACAGTTTCCTTGTGCTGAACCCAACGCACCCTCCCCCCTCCCCAAAATCACGATTTTTCTCCAATTATCGACAAAATCGCTGGAGGTTACATATCGCTTCTGGTTGTGGCTGGATATCTCCTTTTGTGATCTTAAGAATTCATCTCCTGTTTCTATTCACCACCAGCTGCTTGTTATCATTATTTGAGGACCCACTTAATTGCACCAGTTCTAATTAATATTCATTTGCACGGAGAGACACCGTATGTGGAATAATTATTGCATGGATCTGCATACCCTTGTGTCCATTTGACCATCCAGCTGCTGTTGTTTATTCAGAATGGGCTCATTCTTTATTGTTACATTAATAATTATTTAAGAGCCATGGTGGCTTGAATATTTAGCTGCTGGTTTGTACTCGATAATCTGGAGTTTGCTTCATCACTCGCTTGTTCCGTGGGCGGTGGGCTTTGGTGTTTTAGAGACGGTCTCTGGTGTTGTTGAAGACTCGACTTCGTACCACCATCAATTCGAAGGGCTCTGTGAGCTATTTTGAATAAATACCACCTTCCATTCGAAGAGCTGTATGTGCTTTTTTGAGTAAAATTGCGTTCCGATGTGTTGTAGGTAAAAGTATGTTGCTGAATATTTGTGATGCATGTTTTCTCCTGGCTTAGAAAGACAGGTGAGCAATCACTAGGCTTAAGCCGATAGAAGAATTGGACCTGCCTCGCTTGGGCCAGTAGGCCTGCTGCAGTGTCCCTTCTTTATTATGTTCTTATGTTCTTACATATTTATTAGAAAACGTTTCGGTCCTGGAACCTTGATCACTTCTAATACATTGAGGCTACAAAGACATTATAGTCTTTTTAACCCATGTCAGAAGTGATCAGAAGTAATAAATACGTCCTAGTGATTGCTCACTTGTCTTTCTAAACCAATATGTCGGTATCTGATATCAACGTTTATACCAGGTGTTCTCCTGTACGTTCATGTCTTCGTGAACAACCCCCGTTGAACGATCTTCCTGAACACAAAGCATCAATCTGTGTGGAGCGTTCATATGAAAAAAAATAACTTCACACAGCGAGATGTTTGCAGCAGTAAAAGGTTGTTCTGCTAACCTGGGTCTTCACTGTTGTCAGCAGCACGCCATCGTATCCCTGTTTAGCGACCAGTTCTTTTTTTTATTATTTTTAGCGATTGTTTCCCTCATTGTATCCCTGTTTAGCGACCTTTTTTTTATTTTTAGCGATTGTTTCCCTCATTGTATCCCTGTTTAGCGACCTTTTTTTTTTTTTCTTTTTAGCGATTGTTTCCCTCATTGTATCCCTGTTTAGCGACCATTTTTTTTTATCTTTAGCGATTGTTTCCCTCATCGTATCCCTGTTTAGCGACCATTTGTCATCACCACATTTCATTGTTCGAGTCACTTTCAACGCACTTGACAGTTCATCGCTCGTGACGCGGGTATTAAATCTTTCTTTCCCGTGACTTCTCAACCTTCATCTGTCATAGCCACTCACACTCTTGTCTTTTTTTTTCAGCATCCTAGAGCTTCGGAAGGAGAAGTCGAGAGATGCAGCGCGATCCAGAAGAGGCAAAGAAAACTACGAATTCTACGAATTAGCGAAGGTACGTTCATTTTAATGTTGATGATAGGATAGCTGGTCAAACATACCATGGGAGGGGTTAGAATCCGCGATCAGAGTCTCAAAACTCCAGACCGTCGTGTTAGCCACTGGGCCACTATTCGCGGGTTCTAACCCCGCCCGTGGTATGGTTTGTTTGCAATCGTGTCATTACGATGTCGTGAGTCAGATAGTTGGTCAAGCTACATCTGTTGAAGATAATTGGTCAAAGTACGTTTGCTGTGATGCTGAAATGTCTTATAGATGTCAAGCTTTTAGTGATGTCGAAGGTATTGTAGTTGATCGTATGTATGCATATTCTAGTGTTAAATGTAATGTTAGTCAAGGTGCGTTGTAATTTTGAAGGTAATGTTGTATTTGGTATTATAAATGGTTAGCTAAGATATGGTAATTGTAGTACTGAAGGTACGAGAGCTAGCCAAGGAGTCTGTTATTATTTTAAAGTTAATTAGCCTAGGTATGAGTGTTGTGTTGATAAAGGTACGATAATTATTTTAGTCATTTGTTAATCTGATATTGTCCTGTATACAAGGCTCTGATTAATCTGTTTTCTGAAGCGAGTGTTTCTTGGTCACTGGAACTTTCAAGCAATATATCCTTCTCTCCAGGAGTCACAGTAGCTGGAGTGTATGGTACCTACTGAAAAATGTTGTTTCACAGTAGCTGGAGTGTATGAATGGTCCAAGTCGGACCGAAACGTCGTCGTAAGCTTCTCTCTTTTATGTGCGGGTTATTTGTGTATGGAGTGTATGGTACCTACTGAAAACTGTTGTATCACAGTAGCTGGAGTGTATGGTACCTACTGAAAACTGTTGTATCACAGTAGCTGGAGTGTATGGTACCTACTGAAAACTGTTGTATCACAGTAACTGGAGTGTATGGTACCTACTGAAAACTGTTGTATCACAGTAACTGGAGTGTATGGTACCTACTGAAAACTGTTTTATCACAGTAACTGGAGTGTATGGTACCTACTGAAAACTGTTGTATCACAGTAGCTGGAGTGTATGGTACCTACTGAAAAATGTTGTATCACAGTAGCTGGAGTGTATGGTACCTACTGAAAACTGTTGTATCACAGTAGCTGGAGTGTATAGTACCTACTGAAAACTGTTGTATCACAGTAAGCTTGAGTGTATGTACCTACTGAAAACTGTTGTATCACAGTAGCTGGAGTGTATGGTACCTACTGAAAACTGTTGTATCACAGTAACTGGAGTGTATGGTACCTACTGAAAACTGTTGTATCACAGTAGCTGGAGTGTATGGTACCTACTGAAAACTGTTGTATCACAGTAGCTGGAGTGTATAGTACCTACTGAAAACTGTTGTATCACAGTAGCTGGAGTGTATGGTACCTACTGAAAACTGTTGTATCACAGTAACTGGAGTGTATGGTACCTACTGAAAACTGTTGTATCACAGTAACTGGAGTGTATAGTACCTACTGACAACTGTTGTATCACAGTAGCTGGAGTGTATGGTACCTACTGAAAAATGTTGTATCACAGTAACTGGAGTGTGTGGTACCTACTGAAAAATGTTGTATCACAGTAGCTGGAGTGTATGGTACCTACTGAAAAATGTTGTATCACAGTAACTGGAGTGTGTGGTACCTACTGAAAAATGTTGTATCACAGTAGCTGGAGTGTATGGTACCTACTGAAAAATGTTGTATCACAGTAACTGGAGTGTATGGTACCTACTGAAAAATGTTGTATCACCATTATAGCAAGAGCAGTTAAGTGTTTGCTAAATAACTTGCGGACTTGTACTCAGAAGACCTGAACTTCAAGGTTTGATGATGACTTTTCCTGGCTTTTCGTTTATAGGAATCATTTACATTGTATATTAAGCTGTTGGGTAAAAGGACACATGTGCAACTAATGGGACATTTTTATTGTGGTAACGTTTCGCTCTCCAGGAGCTTTGTCAAGCCGTAACGACTTTACAATCCTTGTCATGCCTCATACATAATACCATCCCTCATACATGTTTCTTCGTTATCCCAGCGTATCTGAAATGTTATATTTAATCATATATGTTCCTTATAATTCAGCTGTTCCGTATTTTTTCACTCCCTGTGGTCACATTTTAGCATATTCTTTTTATTTTTTTTATTTTTTTTTTTTACGAAAGAACATAGTCCCACTTTTCAAGTGGGTTTAGGTAGTTCTTGAAAAAAAAGACATTTATGTCGCATGTTTGGGACAATATTGTATTATACAGGGTGTCTCAAAAGTCTCCATACGTAGCCAATATTTTTTTTCAGATACAATTTAAGAATGCTTTTATCAAAAGTAGAACGTATAGAAATAATTCCCATAATTTTTCTCGTGTATGCAAAGAAATGTAGAGGACAATAAGTAAATAGTTACATTTTGCTAAAGCTGCTAAAATTCCCTATGTCTGGCGACTTTTGGGACACCCTGTAGTTTCCTTTTCTCGGCAGTTCTAGTGGAATATTCATTGTTTCATCTTCTCTTTTCACGTCAGATGTTGCCGTTACCTCCAGCCATCACCTCCCAGCTGGACAAGGCTTCCATCATCCGCCTCACCATCTCCTACCTCAAACTACGAGAGTTCACATTACACGGGGATCCACCCTGGCCTCGCGACCACGTCTCAGCCAACAAAACACTTAAAGGTAGGTACACCGGAGGTCCTGTTTCTTCTGCTCGTGGGCTCGTCTGCATGTGGATTCGTCTGTCCGTGGGTTCGTCTGCCCGTGGGTTCGTTCTTTTCCACCCTCGGTCGTACACCTTGTTCCTTCGTTATCCGTGCAATAAGAGGTAGGGGGTAGGGGTGTCTGGAGCACTCGTTGCTTACTCTTCTCACAGGTGAGTGTTGGAGGGAACGCTAAACCCCTTAGGGGCTCTTATAGCTCTTGAGGAAATGGGGGACACTGAGAGTCAGTGAGGTTCACCCCCGCCAGTCACTGTCACTGATGGCAGGAAGCGGCGGGGGGCCCCGGAAATGGCACATGGCAGGTAGCAATGCTCCGCCGGCGGCAGGTGACAGGAATCCTGGGGATGGCAAGTGGCAGGAGCCCCGGTGGCAGCACATCTGGCCATCAACGACGGCACTAGCCAAGCAAAACAAGGCACCCCCGTAAGCCTATATTTATTCAATGACTCATTTCCACAATTCTCTCGCTTTTTCTCCAATTTCCCCTCCATTGAGATTCCCTGGATGCCGTATTAAATATTCCCTGATAAGGTGGAGCCTCTTCATGTCGCACGCTCCGAATGGGATTACCCAGCGGCCCCTAGTTGTTTTATCAAGGAATATCTTCAGCCATTTCCTCCAGAGGGTCGAGTTTGGCCTGCCCAGCGCCGCCACCTGTCACGACCCAAATAATCCCCTCTTCTCCCATTACATAAGGGTCAGTTTTCAATCGTAAAAAAAAAAATACATTTTTATGGGGATAATTTGGGAAAATTGTATAACTGGCTGGACAGTGGTCCTTTATTTCGCATTTTATTGTGTTCCCCCCGGGTTTTTTTTTTTTCCTCTGTGGGCAATTTTCTTGGCCGGGAATAAAAGTCTAACATCAGCAGTGATTGTGAGACGTATGACATAAGCTGATATCTGATTTACTGTCTCGATATGAGAGAGAGAGGAAGGAAGGATGGAAGGAAGGAACGCTGATCCTGTCTGGCCTCTGTCTGTCCTGTTTACTCAACAAATCCCCCATTTGTCCCCAGATCCATACATTATCCTATTTTTTATTTTTTTTCCAAGTCCCTCGGATCTGTGCTGGCCTGGCCACTGTGTATGCAGAAAGTTGATGGATAAGGTTATTCTTTTATCCTGTGACAGCTGTGAGGAGTGAGGGAGGAATGGAGAGGGAAGAGAGGGGAGAAGGTGCGGAGGATGAGAGGCGGTGGATGGAAAGAGAGGGAGAAAAATGGAGATGGAAGGTGTACATTTTTACGCTTTTCTGCGAAAAGGTTAACCCCTGTGGGCTATTCACCACAAGGAGTGGTGGAGGCTCGATCCTCCGTCCTTTACTGTAGTCCAATTTGAATCATTACGTTTAGGGATAATCTGGAGATAGTTTTACAGCTAAAATCTACAACTTAATCAAAGAAATTTAAATCTGTCTAAGCGCACAGGTCCTGAAATAGGAAAAAAGACTACATTAATTTCCCTATAGAATTAACATATCTGTTACTACAACACAGATGGATATGTTGCAACCAAATTGACATTTATGTTACAAACCTGACCTTTATTTTGTTACAAAACTGACGATGACATTGCTGCTAGAATGACATACATATTTATAAAGAAACAATAGTGATGTTTTTACAGAACTGTCACTGACTTTCTAAACAACTCACATAAACGCTGTTATAGCACCGACATCAATATAGTCATGGAATTTGACAGACGAAATCAGTTGGTGATACAGCCAGCATTTTCTTGATAAAATAAGAGTTACGAAGTAAGTTATATATAGCAGTAAGAGCACTGAATATTTCTGTCTGCATCTGAGAGCCTCGGATATAAGAAGAAATACATTTTGTGATTGTTTTTTTTTTTTGGTCCATATATTTTGTGTATTCTGTGTTCCGGTGTCATATTTCGTTTTGTTCTTGAAACCTTGACCCAAACCAAGTCAAAATGGGGAATTTAAGGTCTAATAAGATGGGTATTTTTCATTTGGGCTTGAAAGTGATGCCATCGTCAGTCGAACATGCGGTACTCTTCTTATCGTTTGTTTTATTTTTCCTCATATGAGCCAGCGCTTTTGTTCAGTATTTATTAAAATCTTGTGTTTGGATTTAAAGCTATGTTTGACATAGTTGTCTTAAAAATATATGAATGGAGGAATAATGCAACAGGCCTGCTGGTCTATGTTAAGCTGATCCTTTTCAGATTCAACCCATTCGTCGGACTGTCGACTCCCATTTCCTTGCTTTTGCTCAGCAACTTTCTGGAGAGGCTGTTCTGTTCTAGGTTGATTTCCGTCTTTTATATACTACTACTACTACTACTATTACTACTACTATTATCAATCTATAAACACCACTACCAGTGCCTATAATCACAACTACCTATCAGTACCACTATTACAACTTATTACCCCCAAACTACCACCAATACCTTAACCTATCCCCCCACTACCATCATCCGCAGAAGACGAACATCAAACAGGATCCGTAATTTCCTCCTAAGTGTGTCTGCCTGGTGTCTGTGGTGTGGCCTGGTGGCTAAAGCTCCCGCTTCACACACGGAGGGCCCGGGTTCGATTCCCGGCGGGTGGAAACATTTCTACACGTTTCCTTACACCTGTTGTCCTGTTCATCTAGCAGCATATAGGTACTTGGGTGTTAGTCGACTGGTGTGGGTCGCATCCTGGGGGACAAGATTAAGGACCCCAATGGAAATAAGTTAAACAGTCCTCGATGACGCACTGACTTTCTTGGGTTATCCTGGGTGGCTAACCCTCCGGGATTAAAAATCCGAACGAAATCTTATCTTATCACTCTACCCAACCCGGTTCATCCCACCCAAACGCACCATACCTAAGCCACCCACGACCCGTACCCATTACACTTCCCCTTCTCCCATTTTCACCCACCCACACACAACCATTTCCGTTTCGTACTAAAAAAATCCATTTGATCAAATTTACTATTTTGTGCCCTTTTTTGTAAACTTTTGCTTCTAAACTTTCTGGCTTATAACTTTAAAATGTCGTGTTAGTCTCGACGCCTCTCACCAATTCTTCACATATACTTCACAATTCCGCTTCGTTTTTCAACATTCACACTTTCTCTAAATCACGCACTGAAGACAAGACCGAAGAAAACAAACATTTCACATAATTAGCTTGTATTGGAATATTTAGATATATATTTAAATCTTCATCAAGTCGTGACTTCGAAAAAAAATATCTAAACAGATCGAAAGGTTGTCTCCATAAACGTTTGTTCCTCAAAATTTTGATTTTTTGTCATCAGTGATTCGTGGACACCTGTGTCCCGACTCACACTATTACCTGCACTGATGTCCCAGTGTCGCACCTGCACTGATGTCCCAGTGTCGCACCTGCACAGATGTCCCAGTGTCGCACCTGCACAGATGTCCCAGTGTCGCACCTGCACAGATGTCCCAGTGTTGTACCTGCACAGATGTCCCAGTGTTGTACCTGCACAGATGTCCCATTGTCGCACCTGCACAGATGTCCCAGTGTTGTACCTGCACAGATGTCCCAGTGTCGCACCTGCACAGATGTCCCAGTGTCGCACCTGCACAGATGTCCCAGTGTTGTACCTGCACTGATGTCCCAGTGTCGCACCTGCACTGATGTCCCAGTGTCGCACCTGCACAGATGTCCCAGTGTAGCACCTGCACAGATGTCCCAGTGTTGCACCTGCACAGATGTCCCAGTGTCGCACCTGCACAGATGTCCCAGTGTCGCACCTGCACAGATGTCCCAGTGTCGCAACTGCACAGATGTTCCAGTGTCGCAACTGCACAGATGTCCCAGTGTAGCACCTGCACAGATGTCCAAGTGTCGCACCTGCACAGATGTCCAAGTGTAGCACCTGCACAGATGTCCCAGTGTCGCACCTGCACAGATGTCCCAGTGTCGCACCTGCACAGATGTCCCAGTGTCGCACCTGCACAGATGTCCCAGTGTCGCACCTGCCAAAGCCATGTCCACTCCAGATGTCCCAGTGTCGCACCTGCACAGATGTCCCAGTGTCGCAACTGCACAGATGTCCCAGTGTAGCACCTGCACAGATGTCCCAGTGTCGCACCTGCACAGATGTCCCAGTGTAGCACCTGCACAGACATCCTAGTGTAGCACCTGCACAGATGTCCCAGTGTAGCACCTGCACAGATGTCCCAGTGTCGCACCTGCACAGATGTCCCAGTGTCGCACCTGCACAGATGTCCCAGTGTAGCACCTGCACAGATGTCCCAGTGTAGCACCTGCACAGACATCCCAGTGTAGCACCTGCACAGACATCCCAGTGTAGCACCTGCACAGATGTCCCAGTGTCGCACCTGCACAGATGTCCCAGTGTCGCACCTGCACAGATGTCCCAGTGTCGCAACTGCACAGATGTCCCAGTGTCGCAACTGCACAGATGTCGCAGTGTCGCAACTGCACAGATGTCCCAGTGTCGCACCTGCACAGATGTCGCAGTGTCGCAACTGCACAGATGTCCCAGTGTCGCAACTGCACAGATGTCCCAGTGTCGCAACTGCACAGATGTCCTAGTGTCGCAACTGCACAGATGTCCCAGTGTCGCAACTGCACAGATGTCCTAGTGTCGCAACTGCACAGATGTCCCAGTGTCGCACCTGCACAGATGTCCCAGTGTCGCAACTGCACAGATGTCCCAGTGTCGCAACTGCACAGATGTCCCAGTGTCGCAACTGCACAGATGTCCCAGTGTCGCAACTGCACAGATGTCCCAGTGTCGCAACTGCACAGATGTCCCAGTGTCGCAACTGCACAGATGTCCCAGTGTCGCACCTGCACAGATGTCGCAGTGTCGCAACTGCACAGATGTCCCAGTGTCGCACCTGCACAGATGTCCCAGTGTCGCAACTGCACAGATGTCCCAGTGTCGCAACTGCACAGATGTCCCAGTGTCGCAACTGCACAGATGTCCCAGTGTC